ATAAATAAATAAATAAATAAATAAATAAATAAATAAATAAATAGGTAGATAAATAAGTAAATGAGTAATAAGTAAAGTTACATGTTCTACCAACTGAGCCAGCCAGGCACCCCATCACTGTGCTTTATTCTTATATTTAATAACATCAGTCAATTAATTTTACCCCAAACCTAATATAATATCATTATGATGAGATTACTAGTTCCTCTAGGACTTTAGCTAAGCAGCTGCTCACTTCAAGGTAACTAGTATAGATGACAATTATGTAGCATTTATTAAACTGCCCAAAATTTAGAGACATTTTTTTAAATAAAAGTTAACTTTTCATAATATGTTATTTATTATACAGAAGATTCTGTGCTCATTTATTTTGAAATGAAGTTATTTCAACAAAATTTCCATCTCTTATTCCTTCTCTGTTTTGTTTTTTTTTAATCTCTGGCTAAGTTTACATGACTGAAAGAAAATTTGGGGAAGAACAAATTTCAATTAGAGCAAATAACAGAAAGTTGTTGTGACACCCTTGCAAACATAAATATTATCCCACTGCAGTTTAACACAACAAATTAGACCCTTCTTAAGATTTTCAGCATGAGTCAATTAAAGTATTTGAAGTTCATCTTTTAAGACAAATTACAGGTTAAAAACCCATTGTCCCACTACCAAATATAGTCACACTTCCAATAAAAATTGAATCTTTATTATTTAAATCTTGGATTTCAGAAATTGGAGTGCATTTCTGTGATCCGTTCTCATACACCAAATTTTAACTTCAAAAGTAAGATAACACTAAAATCCCAGCAGAGAGTAATTACTCACCTCATAATTCTCTTTTATCCAGAGCTCCCGTTTAAGAAAAGTTTCTTTCTGATGATCTTCTAGACTATCAAACTGAGACTTTGACATCTTCATGGATTTACGTATGATATACAGTCTTTCTTCTTCCCCATATTCTTTGCCTTTGATGTTAAAGTTATAGATCCACCGGCAATACCAGACTATATATGAACACAGGTGAAAAGGTGCTAAGAGAATCTGAAACAGGAGAAGATCACATATCTGTGGTTTCTGATAGCCTCCCTTTATATCTATTTTACTTTTTATAATGTTTTTTATGATGCTCTCTTCCTTGTCACGAATTTCCTCTTTGGACTTTTTGTTTCTGCCCTTCTCTTTGGCTTTTCCAAGCAACCCCTGCTGCTTGGCAATCTCCATGGCTTGGATACGGTATTTGGGCACTGTGGCTAGGTAGCTGATTGCCTTGTCGTAGCTGTTCCACCAGCTGAAAAACTGGAATATTTAACAAAGAAAAATGGGTCATTTTTACTACCAAAATGCATCTTGGTGAACACCTCCCCCTCCCACCAAAGCCATTCTGATTAAAAATAGGGATCTCAAGGGGCGCCTGCCTGGCTGGCTTAGTCTGTAGAGCATGCAACTCTTGATCTCGGGGTCATGAGCTTGGCATAGAGCTTAACTTAATTAAAAAAAAATCGGGACCACAATCATGTTTCTCTGTAAGTAAAAGATAAAATTGAACAATACCCCCATGTACATGGGATCTCAGGCTAGATAAATCAAGTAAGCCCTGAGCTGGGCCAAAACAGCCATTAATTCAGACAGGAGATAACCAAGATCAGAAGATAAATCCATGGAATCACACCATACCTTTCATTTCACATCTTTACGAAATGACTTTCCCTAGATCACTATTAAAAAATCTCTCTTTCTCTCTCTCTTTTTAAGACTGTGAGACTGTGATCTACATTCTGGAGGACGAGTTAACTGGCAAAACTAGCCAGTGAGTAACTTGTTTAAAAAAGAGATCACAGGATATAGACTCAGGCAACTATATTCATTCCCATCTCTTTCCTAAACCATCTAGATATATCACAGCAATGCTCATTATATTCTGAAGTAAAAGATTCAAATATGTTTGAACTCGTGTTTGACTGGAAAACATCTGGGACACCTGGGTAGTTCAGTTGGTTGAGCATCTGGCTTCGGCTCAGGTCATGATCTCTCTTTCTCTCAAAACTAAATAAACATTAAACACACACACACACACACACACACACACACACACACACACACACACACACAGACTGTGACTGTAAAACATCTAACTTATTTCATAAATATATACAAAGCATTTTGTTAATTGTCAGAAAAAGCCCTTCTCCTCACTATTCCACACATTTCATTTGCTGTTTTACTGAATGAATATTGCAGTTACACCAATAATATCTTGAAATATTATAGTAGCAATCTATTAGGACTAAGGAAAAGAAATGTTACTAGGATATCACATTATCTAAAACACAAAGGTAAAATTATCCCTGCTTTCCCCTTTGAAGGGAAAATACTTCTGCAAAAGCGGATACATTTAAAATGCACGTTAGTTTTCAACAGGATTTCTATTTGTCATATAAAGTGACTCTCATTTCTGGGAATTAAGCTGGAGCAGCAGTTTTCAGACTAGCAAATTGCTTCATTCTAATCATTTGACATGTTCTTTTCCTCTAGAGAACATAACAGGTGTGGTTAGTTTAAGAATAGTAGGAAAAACTCACTTCAAGCTGAAGTTAAATTTTTGTGACATTTAGAAGAACATGAAAAGTTACTACAGCTCTTTTAATCTGTTTCAGTAGTTTTCAGCCTAAGCAAGAGTGCCCTTAGTAGGCAGTGGAAATGTGTGGGACATTTTTGGTTGTTATAGTAATGGCAAGCACTTCTGGTATTTTGTGGATAGCCACCAAGACTTATTAGTTCATAATAAGAAGTTCAGGTTTGGGGGGCACCTGGGTGGCTCAGCTAGTTAAGGGTCCGACTCTGGATTTCAACCCAGGTCACGATCTCACAGTTCCTGGGTTCGAGCCCCATGTTGGGCTCTCTGCTGACAGTGTGGAGCCTGCTTGCGATTCTCTGTCTCCCGCTCTCTCAAAAATAAATAAATATTTTTTAAAAAATAAAGAAAAAGTTCAGGCTTTCCCTAAATTTAATGAGAAATCATTGAAAAGTCCTACAAAAATAATGATATGATCAGGTTAACATTCACTCTGGCTGTTGGGGGGGAAATACTCTAAATGGAACAATGAGAAAAAGATCTATTGTTGAGTTTTTTATAGTTAAATAATGACATTCATCATTAATTTCTTGGACTTCCCATTTACAATGATTCCAATGTTATCGATTGGTTGAACAAATGAATATTTTTCTAGTCTAAAAAAATTAGTCTCAACGGCAAGTAAAATTTTATAAGAATTTAGAAGTATAAGTTTTATAAGAAGGTACTTCTAGGGGCTCCTGGATGGCTTAGTCAGTTGACTGTTTGACTTTGGCTCAGGTCACGATCTAGCAGTTCATGAGTTTGAGCCCCGCGTCCGGCTCTGTGCTGACAGCTCAGAGCCTGGAGCCTGCTTTGGATTCTGTGTCTCCCTCTCTCTCTGTCCATCCCCTGCTCACACACACACACTCTCTCTCTCTCACAAATAAACATTAAAAAAAAAATTTTTTTTTTAAAAAGGTACTTCTAATTCAGTTTTAATGCCCAGTACTAGGCAATGTGCACTCAAGCACACACATGAAGACATACACCTCCATTAATACCAACCTGAAACACTGAAATAGCACATACACTGACCAAAATCACAACTCTAACATCCACTTTGGGGGCTAAGCGCCTGCTGTAGTAATGATAGTAATGGCTATAGTACTCTTCTGGGTGATCCAGCATGTAGTCATAATCTTTTCGTGTTTCTTCATCCTGTAAAATAACAAGATACTCAATTTCATAGGACATTTCATTAAATGGACTTAGTTTATAATCTGTTAAGTCAAACAGAATTTTATAATCATGTAAGATTAATCTGAATAAAAGAACTGAAACTATCAAAATAAAAAAATTTCCCACCACCCTTCAAAGGCACACAAAAATTTGTTTCTAGAACTTTAATATTAGGTATAAAGCATAATAAAAGTAATCTCTCCAAATTCGTAAGTATTGTTAGTCCTCCTGAAAAAATAAAAACATTTTAATAGCAATTAACCATGATGTTTTAGGCAGCGTTATGGTGCTAATAAGGATGTTGTCACGTTCTTTTAACTTCAGAACATGTTGATACCTACTTTCAATAATTATTCATAGGAACAAATGTTTATCTCTATTATAGATATTTGCCATCATTTTCCAGCCTTGTGTAGAAATTTTTCTGTTGAAAGCAATGATTAAGACAACAAAAAGCAGACAAAGCCAGTCTGTGCCTTATAAAACTGAATTATGCTCATCTCCAAGAAACACTGATGCAGTATAATGGTAAAAAGTTTAACTTTGTGACTTCAAGTGAAATCTTTAGCCTCTCTGAGCCTCACTCTTCCTCATCTGTAAAATAGAGATAATATCTACCCTTCTAATTTTACAGGGTTATTTCAACATCAAGTGATACATTATAAAAAAATGTTACAAATACAGAGTATTTTACTATTATATTGTCACAGCCCAGTTCATAAATAAGGTAACATACACAAACACGTTGAAAAAAAAAATCACAGCATTCTGAAATGCTGCTCTGAATGTTCACAAATAAAACATTTCTTAAAACCTCTAACTTTAATCAATTTCAAATAGAGATAAATGCCAATCTCTTACTGAGCTACATAGGTTGAAGAACTCTACACAGGGTTATGATTTGCTTCTTTATCACACAGGAAACCTATTTTGTCTTTCTTTTTTTTTTAAGTAAACTCAGGGTGCCTGGGTGGCTCAGTCAATTAAGCGTCTGACTTCAGGTCATGATTTCACAGTTGGTGGGTTTGAGCCCCACATCAGGCTCTGTGCTGACAGCTCAGAGCCTGGAGCCTGCTTCGAATTCTGTGTCTCCCTCTCTCTCTGCCCCTCCCCCTCTCATGCTCTGTCTCTCTCTCTCAAAAATAAACATTAAAAAAAAAAAAAAAATTAAAGTAAACTCTTCCCCCAATGGGGGGCTCAAACCCATGACCAGAGATCAAAAGTCGCTTGCTCTACCAACTGAGCTAGCCAAGCGCCCCCTATTTTGTCTTATGTCCAAAGAATGTTAAAGAGTAAAACCACAACAAATTCTTTACTCTCTGTAAGGGAGGGAGTACAACAGAAACCATTATGAAAATTAAAAATCTTATTTAACCTAGAGGCTGTCTTTCTAGCATGAATTATTTAATATTCATAAAATTGTAAATTCTTAACTAAAGGCATTTCAAAATCTACACCCAGTGCTCTACTACCACAGATGAAGGCTCTGGGGTCTACTCAGGACCTCCTGACTCTTCCAACGTATAGTTTCTGAGATGTGAAATGAGTTTGCTAATGACAATATCTCCTCTGTACCCATTAAAATCATTATATGTTTTCTAATAAGAATTGTGAGTTTGAGCACATTCTCAGTGACAATTCTCTTAAATTCAGTACATTCAAACTATTTTTTACCTCTGACTAGAATTTGAAACCAAATAAACTAGTATCTAGTATAATGAAATTTAAATATATTCAAAGTCTACTCTATAGCACTATTTGGAGGGCCAGTATGAGAACTGTCTGTTATTTAGAGAGGGCTGAGTTCAGGCTGTTTTTATTTCCAAATTCACTCTTTGAATGTTCTTTTCTGTTAAAAAAAAAAAAAGATTTTCTTGTGGCAATTGGCACATGCCTCAACACATGGCATTGGCACATGCTGTCAATCCATTATTCTTTCTATAAGGCATATTTTATAGCTTCTAACCTAAAAAGGGCAAAACTTTATAGGTCATACAGATAGCTCTGAAGACTAAAACCCACATATCTTGATGTATCTCATTTTGAGTACTTTAAGGCATCTTTTAAGAATTTTTCCATTCTCCCTCTAGTTTTTGCTTTTTGGACTAATTTTATAGAAATGTTCTGCTTTTGGCCTGAAATCTTTGACTTTTCATTCAGCCTCCCAATCTTGGTAGATGCCTTTTGAAATGCATTTTCTTCAAACACAATTCTTCATGCTCCAACTCGATTACATGTAGTAGTTTTGAAACTAACTGCCACACTGATCAGATTCCTAAAGAACTCCAGCCAGCATCATTATCTACACAGAGCCCTTTGCCCAGCCTGACTGTACTCCTCCTGGTTAAAGTATACAGCACTGTCTTTGAGTGTGACTGAAATCTGCTATGTGAATGTCATGGGTCCAACAGTTATCCTCCCGTCTTTGTTCTCTTAGTGAAGGTCACAATCCATAGAATGCAGATATCCCTATTCAAACATTTCACCCAGATCTTCTACCACGGTCACCATCTTCTCACTGGTCCCTAAATTTGTGACTTACTTCATTGAATCCTGAGCTCTTCTAATAGGATGGTCAACTAATGTTCCAGCAACCAGCCACTCCAAAATCTGAACCTTGTGTCTGGCCTCTCTGCTGCAACCAGAGCCTGTGAAGTCTATTCAGAGCCCTCTAATGAGGTCTCAAATTAATTCCTGCAAAAGGTTTCAGGATCAAGTCTGACTTCACAGGATGGTTTTCTTTTCTTTGGGGTCACCATAAATTTATGACCCCGTTTTTGTCACAATTAAAGACAAGAAAGGTTGGCCACCTCCTTGTTATAGGATTTAATCAGCCAGAATCTTTACTCTTGGGTTTATAGCTTTCTCTCCAGATTGAAGAAAATTATCTTAGGCTGAGGTATGCATAATATACCTTGGAAGGTATTCAAGGTTGGCACAAATTGGAGAGTTAGTTTTCAACAGTCTAAGTCAAAATTCTACTCTCTAGTAGCCTACAAAGTTTAGAATCAACCTAGTAAGAATACTAGGTTACCAACGATACCAGGAATACTAGCAAAAAAGGATACCAGGAATACTAGCAAGGATACCTGGAATACTAGCAAAAAAGAAAAGACAAGAGGCTGAGACCCAATTGAAAGCTACAGGTACGTACATATTTTAAAACCATTATATTTATTTTTTCTCCCACCCATCCTGGAACTCAGTCCTCAATCTCCAGTGATTCCCTGTGGCTAGTAAGTTAAAATTTCTTGACATGCAACAAGGCCTCCATAACTAGTGCACTCTTACCTAGCAACATCTCATCACTTGCCCCTCTTTTGCCCATAGCAAACATCAGATAGTAATTTCTGAAATTTGCTGTGTTCTTCCAGTACAGCATGCCCTTTCATACCTATGTCTTTGAACATATAATTCTTTCTACCTCAAATGCCCATCCCTTTCTTCCAACCTCATGAGCTCCTATTAATCCTTTAGGACACTCTTATTACATATGTAACCTATTTATTATAGCACTTATCACATTGAAATCATTCGTTTTTTCTTTTTGCTTGAGTGAGAACTTCTGGAAGATAGGTAGGGTGACACATTAATCTCTGTATATCCAAGACCTACCATAGTGCCTGGCATTCAGTAAGTGTCATTTAAAAAATGAGTAAAATTTTGTAAAGGCTCTCCCTCACTATACACAGGTCTTCATCTCACCAGGAAGGCCGGTGATTATTTCACAAAAACTTGGGCTTAGCAGAAATGACTGCTTGATTTCATAGCTTATGAAAATATGCTACTGTGGCTAAAACAGCTTAAACCTTAAAACAGTTTAATGTCTTACCTTTCAATAAGGTAGTATTTTTTCTTTCAGCAATTTTGTGGATCTTAAGGTCCCAGGGTCAGGAGATTCCAACTTCTTTCCAAAACCAAAACCTTTATACTTGTTTCTTCCTCCTCTCTGTCCTGAGCCTTGACCAGCAGGGCAATAAGCTCCTTGTTTCTAATCTCTACAGGAAAAAATGGTGCTTCTGCTGGTGTCCACTCCACTCCCAATCCTCTTGGGCATATGCAGGAGGACTGGAACAGAACCACCAATATCTAGATCAAAAGTGAACAAGAGGAAACCCACAAGCAAAGAAAGCACTGAATCCTTCCTTCTCTTATGAAAATGATCATTCCCCCCCCCACCTCCCCAGAGGCAAAAATATATTATGTTCTTGCCCTTGAAGAAATAATGAACTGTTTGGTCTCAATATACATAAATTGCAATAATTTGTATTGCAGCCACTTATACATTAAAATTTTTCTGTTACACAGATAGTAGAAACCATTTTAGGTTGGATGTTAAAGGCCAGGAATCAATAGTATATTAAAAAAAAGTAGTAATATTTTTGTTCATTCTTAAAAATATATATTAATCCCATTTTAAAAGAAATACACACACACAAATGATCCTTTAAAAAAAATAACATCTGTTCCTACATTTTTATCCAGGCCATTACATCCTACTACAGAGGAAGGAAATTTACTGCTGTCAGTTTCATTTCTCTCCCTGCTTCCTGACCCCAGTCACTATGCCACTGTCTTCCCATGTCTTCTCTTCTTTCCACATGTGACCTCAACAACTTCCACGATTTGCAGTATCACCTACATACTAGTGATACTTGGATTTGCTTTTCCTGTGTCCTCCTATTTTCAAATGTCTCCTAAGCATTTCCTAAATATAACATAACTATCTCAAAACAAACATGCAAATCTGTCCCTCCGTGTCAGTTAATAGTATAGTATCACCATCTACTTGGTAACCTGAGCTTTTAAAAACCTTGGTTATTTTCAAATCAGGGGCATAATTACACGGGGCATTAAGCCTGTGCTCAATTCAAAGGAGGATAAAAAGACAAATAAGATAATGTCCTGGTCTCAAGAACTCTTCCATTTAGAACAATCTAGCAAGAAAAATGCAATTTGATGTGCTAAGGAAGAAAAGA